GATAGATGACTTTTTTGAGGTTATATTTACTAAATAAAATTATTTTAGATTTTAGAGCTACTGAGCAGTTTAGCAGCACACTTCAAACCGTCAACAACTGCTAAGTTCATTTCATCCCATTAGCTACTCCAGCGCTGTTGTGGAGAGTTTTGAACTGTTATTTACTGCTAACAGATGACCACTTTTTCACTATTCTACTATGGGAGTTAGTACTCCTTACTTCTACACTCAATAGTAACGTCAGTATTAAAATCGAATGCGCCCCCTAGTGACATATTAAGAACATGTTTCTTTATGTGTAAGGATTTTACAAATTCCGACTTTATTTTAATAATGGTAGGCTCTTATGACAGTAATCCTTTGAAAGTATTAAGTTCTCTGCATCATACTGTGCAAAATTTGTCAAATACAAACATTCTGGTTGGTAGGATGTATCACAACTAAATTATACCTGAAAATTAGTTTGTAATTGTGAAAATTCCAATTATATTTCATTAGATGACTATTATATTTACAGCGAGCGTTAACCATCTGAACCCTCTCAGAAATGAGGGGAGGCTAGTGCCCAGCAGTGGGACTTATATAGGCTGTAACTTTACTTACTTTTACTTTAGATGAACGACGACTTTGGTAGTTTTGACATAGTAATTGCTTGCAGATTAATATATAGGGGAAATATTACATACAAAATATAAACTTAACTACTTACAATGTGTGAACAATGATCTTAAACCCAAAGATAAATTGATAACTTTGGAATTGAAAAATGCATATACTCAAACAGATTTACTTTTTGACTTCAGAGAGGAAATAAAACCTATATCCAAAACGTTGTTGAATTCTTCGCAGACCAATAATTCATTAATAACTCGTAATGACATTAATATTTTTCGTGAATAAGGAAATATCTGTACCTTGTAATTTTTCTATTGACTCCTTCCGGTCAAAAACCATCTGTTTAAAAATATTTCATCAAAATGTTTGCGGAATTAGTAATAAAAAATTAGAACTAGAACTATATATTGAATCTTCTGGTAATGACTTGGACTACTTATGGATATCAGAACATTTCTTAAATGACAAATCTGCCCACGCACTTAATTTGCATAATTATAATTTAGCTTTATACAGCACAAGAACGACGAAGAAAAGCGGAGGTAGTCATATTCTAGCACACAAAAACAAGGAATGTGAAAAGATTGACGCAATTATAAAATTATATACATCAAATGTTTTTGAAATATTCGGTGTAAAGGATATTGAAACAGGGTTACATTTATGTTGTTTCTATAGAAGTCCAGTTGACAAATACTTTGAAAAGTTTTTGGAATGTTTAAAAAAAATGTTACGACAAGAAATGCATCATATGTGGTGATTTTAATATTGAAATGCTTGTTTAGAGTAAAAAACTTCCGAATTCATTAGTATTTTGTATTGTTATAATTGTTTATATTAATTTAATTTATCAATATAATTATAATTTATTATATAGGTGCCTTATACATACTCCTATATTTATTCGAAAAAACTCGAATTCCTGTATAGATTACATTATTTAAAATCTTTCTGAAGATGACATGGAACGGTGCTTGGTGGATCACAATGGTCTAGCAGATGGTCACGGAGGCCTGTTTTGCGATATCATTCTTGATAAAACCAACATCAACACTAAAAACCCAGAATATATAATAATACTTCAAAAAGAATAATGAATAGAAAAAATAAGGCTGGGTTTAACTAGGTTTTAATAAAATCTTTAGGGAATGCTTTCCAAGAAAAATGTTAATTTACAGCCTATGAAAAATAATATAATAAAATGGGTCACTAAAGGAATTAAAGTGTCAAGTAAAATGAAAATATTATTGTGCTCAGGCATTCCAAAAACTTCTAGCATCGCAAATTATAAAATGAATTACATTCGAATTTATAAAAGAGTTTTACCACGTGCTCGGCAGTGAATTAAAACATCGTGAGGAAACCTGCATGTCTGAGGAATAAGAAAAAAAATATTTCGAAGACATGTGAAGTTCGCCAACACGCATTGGGGCAGCGCGGCGGACACTTCCTTGCCCTAAAACCCTCTCAGAAATGAGGGGAGGCCTGTGCCCAGCAATGGGACGTATAACTCGTACGAATTAACTTGAGACCTAGGCCGTTGACGTAATTGTCAATGTACGGTGTGCAAAATAATGCGTCGTAATATTTGTTTATTTGAAATTTTTGAGGTTTGCATGACATTATTAATAAAAACAAAATAAAATGTTCTGTCAAGGGGTGAAGTAATTAAGTGATATACTGTTGCCATTTTTATATATTTTAAATATTTATTTTTTATAATATATATAATATTATTTTTAGTTAACGCGTCAAGGAAGGACAAAGAAATAAACATACACACTTTCTCATTTATAATATTAAATAAAAATTAAAATAAAAATTTTAAAACTTTTAGAGCAAGTGTCCGTGCTTGGCTATGTATTGTCTTTCCTCCCATCTTTTTTAAAAATAAAAAAGGCGGAGTAACTCCTAAGCGTCACAAGAAAACGGCACCACACAACGTCCAAACTTAACAATAAAACAACGCAATTAACAACAAACAGGTAAAATAACGTTCAAGTATAACAAAAACAAACAAAAGTCCAAACCAAACAGCAAACAATTATCAAAAATATCGAACTAGAGTCGAGACGCGGTGCGGGGAGTCGGGAAGGGGGTCGCATTCCAGCGGAGTCTCAAGTTAATGCGTACGTGTTGTATATAAGCTGTAACTTTACTTTACTTTTTTTTTATAAAAGAGCTCTTAGACATGCTAAAAGTTACCCATAGCACAGCACCTTAGCAAAGCTAAAAACATCATCAAAGAGACGTGGAAAACAGAAAACACAAATACAAAGAAAACTCAAAGAAATGTTGGAAGAATGATAATTTTAAACATAAACGAAATAGTTATTGTTGATCCACAGGAAATAGTAAACAATTTTGCTGATATCTTTGTTTACAAATCGTCATTGTTAGAGAAAGATGAAGAGAGAGCGATGATTTTTTTAAAAGAAACAACGGCTAGATGTCGACAAAAAGACTTCATCTGAAGAAGGAGATTTAATTTAGATAACGAGCGATTCCGAGCGAACCGAGCTATCAACTTCATTGCAGCGTTTCACAACAGTTATTGGAAAAAAACTGCAAAAGTTGTTGGTAATAAAAAAGATTTGCGTACGTTACTAATAAATGTGCGTTCAGTTTAATATTGCTAAGAAGACAAATACTGCTTCTCGGATGAAGACATACACGTATATGTACACGTTCACACATACGTACACGTACACGCGCGGAATAAAATGAAGCATTCCGAAATAATCATCTTATTTGCAAAGCTATTAACATTACTAATATTCCCTTTAACCACTCCTCGTAAGCTTAAAATACTTGTTAGGTGTGGTTCACGACAGCAATCGAGAGGTGGATTCGAAATCGCAACCTTTTGAGTTCGCGCGGTCCGCGAACTCAAAAGGTTGCGATTTCGCTTTCCTATACACATGCATATACTAACTATTACTATTATAAAAAAACAACATTTATATCCCCCGCCCTCGCCAATATATCATCCCCCGCCCCCGCCAAAATATCATATCCCGCAACGTAGCACTACGCCGTAGTATTTCCTTCCGACGTCATTCGGTTGTGTGTGGGTTTCCTTGTACCGCTTCCGCAATAACTAGGCACACACACGAAACGTGTGCGGACAGGCCAATGATCTTGTAAGAGAGTTATCTATTTAAATCATTCATAATAGAGAGCCAATTTAATTACAGACAATAAGGCGTACCATATCCTATGCTAGGGCTAGGGTTACAACGCATCATCTACATTTACATACATATGTATGAGTCATAGCACCCACTATATTTATTTATCTAGATACATTAACAGTGCTCACATAAAACTTTAAGGACACAACATTACATATGTAGTTTCATATGAAAACAGTTACTGACATAAACAACATTGACCATAGGGTTGTCAATGCTACTAAAGAATTGAAATTAAAATCATTGTATTATATGTATATTCTCGAAATCCACTTAACATATTTGAGCTGACTTGACTTGTTAACCAAACACATTTGCACACATAGATACTATACTATATTCGAAAGCCTTTTTTACCCTTAGTAGTAAATTGAATTCCGATATTTTAGGGTGGGTATTTATGATGTCGAATACATCATCAATTTTCACAAAACTAACCGTATTTTTACAGTACTTTTATAAACAAACGAATACACAGTCTGGCTGGTAGTAAGTGGATTCTGTGGCTCATAAAAGTAAAGTTACAGCCTATATACGTCCCACAGCTGGGCACAGGCCTCCGCTCATTTCTGAGAGGGTTTTAGGGCAAGGAATTGTCCGCCACGCTGCCCCAATGCGTGTTGGCGAACTTCACATTTCTCCGAAATATTTTTTTCTTATTTCTCTGATATGCTGGTTTCCTCACGATGTTTTCCTTCACTGCTGCGCACGTGGTAAATCAGCACTTAAAATTGCAATTAATAATTTCATTGGTGCCGGAGGGGATAGAACCCGGTTTGCTCGCGTACTGTGAAATTTACAGCGAGCGTTAACCATCTGAGCAACCACGGCTCTGTGTCCCATAGACGTCTACATCTATCCTCGATTAAGAAACAACATGCGATGTGGACTTTGAAGACTATATGAAACGCAGTAGCATTGAGCTGTTAATTCACGCTGGTATTCTGTAAGAATGTGGTCCCTGGTCGGACCAACCCATAGATGCTGCAACTATAATATATCTACAGAATAGATTTAACACGTACAAAGTATAGTTAAAATATTACGATAGAAAACACGATGTGTTCCAATGTGAAGAGTAAGAGATTCCATATTGTAACTACAGTAGCAATTTACTGCGTGGTGTGTAGGGTCGTTATTAATGCAGTTTTTAAGAGACATAGTGGCTGCGTACAGATGTGGAAGAAGTGGATGAACAACAAGAGCCAGGGCGGACAGGGGCGGCAGAGCACGATCATGCGGTGCATAATGCTGCGCACAACCAAGCAACAAATGCTGAAATGCGGCCAGCTGACTTGCCTGTCGCCTCGATATCTACACGAGTACACCGTCACCCTGTCTGACGACGAGCTGGATCTCTACGAGACGGTATTCATTGAAATATTTATTCTTTATAGCAATTCTCAAGTTAACTGCTGAACGTAGGTCTCCCCGAAGGAATGCCACAAAGCATGGTCCTGAGCCACCTGCATCCATCAACTTCCTGCATATCTTACCAGGTCGTCACTACATCTGGTCGAGGGCCGCCCTATTCTTCGTCTACCGGTACGAGGCTGTCAATCGAGAACCTTGCTTCCCTATAGATTGTCAATTCTTCGAGCATTTCAGCTTACTTATCCGGTAGGTACGCTACCAGAAAGTACGCCCGAATTTATTTGACATGAAAACGTCTTTAAATTTCTTTCCATAGTGAGAGGCAATCATGCAAACCGATTGTTTGTCCAAGATCCTGATCCTGGATGTGGCAGGAGCTCTTGGGTGATGGATATATCGATTTAAATGAATTCAAAAATGAAAATCTAGCTTTTAATCGTATTTGCATATAATTTAAGAACTTAAAAGTATAATAAAATTTCGATATTGAAAGATATAGACAAAAACTAATGTTAAAGAAGTTACGTTATAATATTGTGTCACGGTAATATTATCTATACAGTATTGTAACTCGGCCGTATCTTTGAAATAAATGCCTACAGCGGCGCGGTACGTAAACACGCAATAGGGCTGCCTGCCTTCAGCATTATATTTGCCTACTTTGTGTTTCCATTTAGTTTTATGATTGTAAATATACTTTTTTTATATAATCAAATATAATAGGTACTTTGAAAATTCAATAGGAAGTGTCCAATAAAAATTCGTATCGTTTTTTGATTGGTAGATGTAATTAAAAAACCATGTTTATGTTTGAATAACAAATCGGTCTTATGAATTTGCGACCGAAAAATATTTGCGCCTCGGCTGAGACGTACGAATTACTTTATTATTAAATTTTTAAGTATAAAAAATCCGCATTATAATATAAAGCTTAATTAAAAATTATTTTGGGAAACATGGACAAGGTGGAGAAAGTAATATCTTTTACTTGGATAAAGAGGTATCTATAACCAAGTAAAAGATATTTTATAATTTATATGTTTGGTTTTAAATGAAGTTCGCATTTATTATTTCTTTATTTCTATTCTATTAGTTATTTCCTCCATTTTATATATATATTCCACAAAATCATCACTGCGGCACAGTCACGACTGTCTGCATGCCGAGCGCATGCCGAGATCGAGGCGCGTAGGCATAGCTTTCGCTTCGTCCGTTTGTATGAAGTTGGAATACTGTATAGATAAAATTACCGTGATTGTGTATTGTTGATGTTATGATCGATTGTGCTTTTCCGTTCAAATTCAAATTTTCGATAGCCTGGGCTTTTTGTCACTTTTGCCTGTACGGTAAAACCATAGATATACTCGTAAATGACAAGATATGGCCATGCGAACAAAAATTGTTCACGGTTTAAGCATAGAATAAATCAGCGCCATCATTTAAATATTCATGAACTGCCACGGAACCAGCGTTTTCACTTATGGTTTTGGTTTTACCCTAGAACCTGTGGAAATACTAAATTATCATAAAAATCAATATAGCCTATTTATCGCACCTAATTTTCAATATCTTAAAGAACAACATGGTTGCAAGATTTAAATATCATTTCACGATTAAATATCTTGAGTTTTGTAATGAAGAAGACGTTCTCATTTTCAAATTATAGTAACACTTAGTCTCATATGAATAACGAATATATAACTAAGTAAAATGTTATTCAATAATTCCGATATACAGAATAAAGAAGAAAAACTTTTCCATTCTACTCTTTTTTATCTTTTTTGACCCTTTCCCCTCAGATAAATCCCTAAAAAAATACATTGGGTGGGTATAAAAAACGGGGTTACCTAAAGTTCGGGTTTACCCCAAATTATCCAAAACCCTATCAATTTGAAGAAACGCCTAAAGCCCTGCCTATATTGTATCTATATTGTAGATATACCCTAAAATAGTGCAAAATATTTAAAAGTCGTATCACTGCACGGACGCACGGCACGCATTGGTTCTCACGTTGGTGCTCCATAAACATTTTCGCACCGAGGAGTCAGTGCGATTTTGTTTATTCAATGTATATATACAAAAAAAAAAAAAATATATATATATATATATATATATATATATATATATATATAATACTGCTGCTTCTTTATAGTTTATAGTCTATGGGTTCTATAGTCTATGGGTAGATCATCTGTTTGGTGTTACAGCTACATATCTATCGTCTACATCCAAATTTTAATTACATCTTCCGATAGCAAAAGGATCAAGAAAGTCGTTATGTTGAGTGAGGACTACGGCGTTGCTATTTTGAGGTCGTTTCGTTACAAACACATATTCAGGTGAAACACATGACCGAAAAACACCCCCCAATTTTATCTTTTTCTTTACAATCCATGTATGTATAAATATTTACACAGTCGGAAGAAGTCTTGAAATCGCTAGATATTACATAATTTTCATATTAAATAGCAAAATGAAACTAATAAAAATTTCTTCTGTTCCAGTTGTTAGTGTTTTCAAAGACCATGTTCGCTCAGTTCCTCCACCAGTGCGCGAAGAAGCCAGCTGACGCCGAAGGCGAAGACAGCGCTCATACTGAAATGCACAAGAAGATGATCAAACTGCAAGGTCAGTTATGTTATTACATACACTTTTTTCAAATATTAAGGGTAACAAACGAGCACATGATCTACGTGATGGTAATTGCATCGTGTGGTAGGTATAGTCTCTTTAGGTGTTAGGACACACATACTCACACTCGCACATTCACGAATACGTATACATAAATAAACTTTCACTCGAAACAATACAGTAGACTAGTTCTTATCGTTTGTTTGTACTAATTTTAGAATTTAAGTAATATATAACTGTTAGCGACGACAAAGTGAATTCGAACATTTAATCTTAATTGTTTCTTATCAGTGATTTAAAACTAAGTGTTAGCATTTAATCTTAATTGTTTCTTGAATGTAATGTAAGAAGAAGTACTCAGAAAAATAAACAAGAAGATATTTCAAGAAGTGTTATTTATTCACTCAACCAACTGCAACTGCATTGCTCTCCGAATTAATATCCCGCCAGCAATAAAGTTTAACAGTCTCACACACGAGCACACATTCAACAATAACATTAATATGGAGATTAGAATATGTTTACCCATACTGCCTTGTAACATAGATATAGTAATGGAAGGGCGGACCCTCCGAACACAGGTATTGTTTGCTTAAATGGAAGTTCCATTAAACTTGTTTGAAGTTTTTGTTGTGTAATTTTTATTATATTTATGTCATTTTTATTATTTAGGACAGCTCCGTGGTGCAGTGGCTTAGTAATGAGTTACAGTGCTGAGGTTCGTGGGTTCGAATCCCGCACTGAACAAGTATTTGTGTGGCCTACAAGTAATTGTTTTTGTTTTTTTTTTTATTTGTTATGAAGTAAAAGCAATAAAACAAGTAATATAACATAAAAAATAAACAGAAACAAGTGTTATATTGAAATTTATAATGAATATTATTGAAAATAAATGTACGATAAATTCAAGGTTAAGAGCCCAGTCTTTCAGAGCAAAACAGAAAAATTGCGTTCTGGTGACACATCTACACCCTCCCTGCCCCGCCACTTCATGTATCGCCACCGCAGTTATCTTTCTGGCCGTAGCGTGGAAAGTTGCTCTACTAAGATTTTCCAGTATCAATTTATCTAATATACAGGATTATTGATAATTAGCTAACAAATTTTTACATACAGATTTTCTACCTCGTATCTATTTTTGTTCCATGCTTTTATTACAAAATTCGTTACACAAAAAAAAATATTTTAAGTTTGTATAATTTTTGTTGTTTTGTTGAAAAGGTTTCCAAAAAGATAATCATCTAGAACCTGTATAACATGTACTCGTATTATTGATTATTCAAATGAATCTGGCAAGTGCTAGAATGAGTCGTGCACTGAGGGTTTCGTAATAAGTCGATGACACTATCGAAAATCCGTCAAGTACGTCAAGTAGTTCTAAATACTAAAATAGATTTTAAAAAAACTCAAAATAATTTCTATATAAGTACAAACAGTCCACTATCACACATATTTATAGTTTCTCATTAAAGTATAATGTAACTTTGTATAGCATTTACCTATATGCATTACAAATATGCAACTCATTTATAAACTATTCTTAAAAGTACCTACCTAATTATATACCTAATATTTAACCAAGTGCTCACACATATGCACGTTGTTAACTATTTTACTATGAAACACAAAAAAACTTACCTTTGAATTCTATTTCTGTTCATTGCTTCAACGTTTGATTTCAATTTTCGTTTTCTGGTACAAGCATATTTTTTTACGTTTATGGTCCATATCGAAATTAAAAGTTATAAAACAAATACAAAATGATTTATAAACCCTTAAAGAATTATATGCAAAAAATAATAAAGTAGAGCAACTTTCAATTCGTAACAATGCGCAACCAAGATTAGGGAAAGAGAGAGAAAGAGGAATGTTAGAGCGAGAGGAAGTGCAAAAATTTGGCACAGACAAGACGTCTGAACGCTACAGCCGCTCAGCGGCTACTAAGGAATATTGCCCGCAATTATTGTTTATAAAGTCAATATTTTATAAGTCGATCGAAATAATTATTAATTTTGAAATAAAGTGGTTTAAATTATTATTTTTTAATATTTGTCTAATTAAACACCTGCCCTTGAGAAAAAAATAATTATAGCATAAATATTTTCAGCTATTGCTATGAAACAAATAGTTTTTTATGAGGCGAAAACAGCGAAATTTAACGAAATTGAGACCTCTTATTTAAGACAATGAAAGATATTTAGAAAAAAAGAAACAGCGCATTTTGGAGATGAAGATGTTTAGCTATTAACGCGCTGAATAGATTTCGCCTTTTTATTATCGATTGCCTTATAATGGTACACGAACAAAGCTCGAAATTGCGTTGGGTGCGAGAGAGCTCTATTTACCGTTTGATTTATCTAACATAGACCACATAGATGAACCAAAAAAAAATTTAGCCATTACTTATAATCTGGGTATTTATGTGTTATCAAAATATTTTACTCTGAAACAATAATTTGCTGTAAAAAAAGAAATCAAAGTGGCGCTAATGATTCGATGTGAGTCAACTTTAAAAGACTGTAGCCTTAAGTTATTTTTAGCAACGCCGCGTCACGCGAAGCGAGCGAGCGGTGTTAGTCATTTTAGCTGGCGGCTGAGGGGTTCATTTTAATATACGACTTAAATATGAATTTAAACTAAATAATTTGAATAAGAAAACATATAGGAATCTGTTAAATAAGATTACTCTGTTTAAAGGCTAATATATTTACGGGGCTACTCTCTCTTTCATCTGTCCCTGAAAAATATATAGTAATAATAAACTTATTCTGACTGCTGCATGAATTTTAAAAAGAATGATCACAGCAGAGACTAGCTAAACAAGCCGGAGATATTAAAGAGCACCAAGTGTCTGAAGGTACAAATGCACCCTTTATTCTCTCAATCTCGGTATGTTAAAAAAGCGGTCACCCATTCATGGACTGACCGCGACAAGTGCAGCTTAAACTCGCAGATTTATTGATCTGCGTAACTGTTACTTAACCACGAGTTCCTCTTCTCTACGACTAACTCTGTAGACGATGATCAGACACTCGGCAGTCATCAGATATCAAGCATGAATCGGGCATCGAGCGTTGTGAGTATTTAATACTGTGGAATTCATACTATCCGGGCACACTGAACCGCGCACCTTTTGCGCGGGTATCTAGCGGCGCTCTAGAAGCATTAGGTACTAAATATCTATACTTAACTACGCTTAAATTTTTATATTTGTGATTTGGGAATAAAATCCGAAGCTCCGCGCAAGTTCTTGGTGAAAAAGAACTTGTCATTTGCCAGTTGCACTTGCCACCCGCACTTGTCACTTCTCAAAATGTAACCCGGGCCTTACTTCACTGCCTCTACTTATCTATATGTTAATACGAGAAGGGAAAATAATTTTGCACCCCTTTTTTTAGCTTATCACGCGCACGGCGGTGTGCGATTTGACACAGTTTACAATTTATCTATAAGACTAGCGATCCGCCTCGCCACGGGTGATTTCTTTATTTCGACAACACTGTCAACTACCGGGTCTTACAGTGAATCTAAACCTACCTCTACCTCTAGGGACTCAATCAAACACATACAAAAAATTAAATCAAAAAGCCATTTTTAAGGATTATAAGGATTTTTAACGGACAGCAATTGATATTATATATATATATATAAAGATGTGTAACAAGTACATTAAAATAAAATGAAACACACTGTTTACGTTCGTACTGCTAATGCTTTGAGTATTCAATTTAATACTCAAAGTGCTGATGTCAAACACTTGAATGTCGCTTAAACAAATAAGGTCGTTTGTTACGGTTAATACTGCCAATATCTCAGAATTAGTACAAGCATATTATTATGTATGCTCTATTGTTATGTATTACTCTAAGGCTAATGTCAAATACTTAATAGTCTGTGGTCAAACAGTCGCACAGAGTAGAGATTGTCACTAAATAATTTTGAAATGCTGTCGCCAAAGAATTACTGACAGATTGACTATAGTGAATTTTGAGTAATTTTAAATGTTTTTTTTCAATAGTCTATGGAGTGTATGTCAAGGCCATAGAGTAGGGTAATATATACAGAAAGTCAAGGCTAAAAAGCGTTCGTTTTATGTTTTGTTTATTAGATATCTGTGTTCTGTATATAATATGCAACTTTTTTGTGAATCACGGTTGAATTTCGATCTTTAGGTGACCATTAATATTAATAATTCCTTAAAATCTAGGGGCAAAACCAGTAAAATTTCACGAGACCTCAGTAATTCCGCTATGGTTGAGGCAAGTTTTCTGCCATTGCGGTCTCATGGCAGTCATGCTGAATGATGATGACACAGCCGTTGAAGAGTTGAAGACGGACAATGCGGAGAACGATCTGCTAGATGAGCTCGACAAACTCGTTCTAGAAGACAAGAAGACTACTGAAGAAAAGGTATATCATAAACAGTATGGAAATGCATAATTTCTTAGAATATTTTACGAGTTTGTAAAAGTCCGTGCAGTGGCGGTGTAAGTACACCCGCTACCTCCTATTGTCCCGAGGGTGTCGTAAGAGGCGACAGAGGGAAACTAATGAGGAGGTTGACAGCAGAATCTTCCTTAAAATTAGTAAAATAAAATAAAAACTACGGATAGCAACCAGCTTGCCAAGCGTGGCAGTTGTGGTATATATCCCCCCCCCCCCCCGAAATGAGGCAATTTATGGGAGAGACCTATGTTGAGCCGTGGACTTTTAATAGGCTGTAACGGTAACCGGTTTTGAAAGTAGATTGGACCTTGGTGTAATTTATTTGATAACGGGGACTCACTTATTCTGTTCGAAGTACGTTGTGTACGTAAACCGTACTCGGAACTTTATTATAGTATCAAATTACCACCAACCTAAAGTTAAAGTTACAATCTATGTACGTTATTTTTATGGGGACAGGCCCTTATATCTCAATTCTGAGAGGTTTTTAGGTTAAAGAAGTGTCCGCCGCGCTGCCCCAATTTGTGTTGGCGAACTTCACATGTCTTCGAAATATTTATTATTTATATATTATATATAGTCATATTTCTCTGATATGCAAATTTCCTCACGATTTTTTTATTCACCGCAGAGCGCGTGGTAAATATCAGCACTTAAAATTGCAATTAACAATATAATTGGTGCCGGCGGGGATTGAACCCGGTTTGGTTACGTACTGTGAAATATACAGCGAGCGCTAACCATCTGAGCTGCCACTACTATAGCTACTAGGGCTCTTACTACCAACCTGTTTCAAGGTAATTCCCGACAGAACCTGTTTGTGCGCACATGTTGTATAATAAATAAAGTTTTAAAATAAATGCGATGCTGTTAATAAAAATAGGGTATAATCCATTCATGTAAACACTCTCTCTTCCAAACACACGAACACACGCACGCTTAATAATTATTTGTTAAAAAAATTGTGTAATCTCTATTGGCCTTACTGTATAATATACTTAGGTCGAAAGTTCTTTCAAAACTTTTTATAAAATTAATGATACCCTTTTTGATAATTATACATATAAAATTATGTATGAAATCAAAGGTAATTTAATTTAGAATAAATTTTTTTTACATTATTCAAAATGCCCTCCCCTATTAAATACATGCCCTTAATCGGCACGCCCAATCATCAATCGCAGCACGCAGCACACTCGTATCTATTTCTGACGCTGCTTTAGCCAAAGATACTCAGAGAGATTCCAAATTATGATGAGGTTTATCGCAGACTTTCTCCTACAAATGTTGCCATATCTTATAATCCGGACTAGAAGAGGGCCAGTCTTCATATACGATGAAGTTAATTCCATGGACGGTCAACCGGTTTTGTGTGCTTCGTGCCCTATGAGCTTGTGCAGAGTCCTGTTGGAATATCCAATGTCTGTTTTTGAACACTGTTTGAGAAAGAGGTTCCACTATGTTAGGACGATATTTTGGTACACCTCGGCATAGGTTTTTACACCTTTTTCGCAGAAAAACACCTCAGTTAAGTCTGAATATGTATAGTATGATATTGTGCTCGTTGAACCCTCGGAATACGCGTAATGGCTTCTTCACTGTTGTGGGCATACACCTTATCATTTTGTTTATTGTAACTTTCTTCGATATTAAAAAAATTCATCCGAAATAAAATTTCGCGGTATTTTTTCCCGCGTAACGCCGTAACTAAGCGCGGGACCTATCCAACCTATTTTTTTTCAAACGCTCGTTCAAAAAATGTCCAGCCTTCTGACGATAAGCTCGTAGTCCTAGGTCTTCAATGATCACTCTTTTGACCGTGGTTCTGCTTAGGCCCACCTGAAGAGCTAAGAATTTTTGTTTACGAACAGTATTTCGCGAGATACGCGCCTTCACTGCTTTGATGATCACGGGCGGCCGGTCCTCTTACGATCTTCGAAGCTTGAATCATTTGATAGTACGATAAACAAATCGTAGGGTTATTTTCAATTTTTGTAGAATATTCAAATTTCAAATTCGAATCGTTTATTGCGAATATAGTTTGATACAGATGGTATTGCCATAGTTTATCACTTAGAGAACAAACAATACAGCTATATTCCGCAATTTGGCATGCAATATTCATCACATTTTATTAGTTTTATATTAAATTATTTAAACATACTTTAGTTATTATTGGAGTTTTAATTGGAGTTCATAATCAAAATTAATAGCGATAAGTCAATTTAGATAATATTATATGAGTCAAGTCAATTTAGTTATACTGAGTCATGTATTAGTCAATTATTGAATTTCATATTTACCTTAGAGATATTCTTTCACACTGTAGTATGCCCTATTAACAAGAAATTGCTTCAATAGCATTTTAAAATCATCTGTTCCACCACATCAAACTCAACATCACATCTCAAAATGTATGAATATTGAAAATATCTTTTGAAATAATATTGAAATTCTCTATCAGCGGTGCAACGTGATAACCGCTACTCTATCTTCCTTCTTCGACCACTCCATATTTGAAAATGGATGAAAATTAATGTCTTTTTTTATTTTCGGCAAGCGCAAACGTTATATTTTTGAAATTGGTTAAGTTCATCTAGCCAGTGTCAATTTTTTTTAAATAATAAGATTTTGACAGAACTTATGACCCAACTAAGTATTGTGTGTTATATTTAAATAGCCCAGGACCCCACTGTAGGGTTTAAGGGTTAATAAGCTATAACAGTAACGGTAATGAGAATAAATTTCTTAATCTACTATTCCTCCTTATTCATGTGACTAGAACGGTGAAGGCGAGAAGAAGAAGGAGATGGAGAAGCGAGAGCAAGTGGAGGAGGGGATGACAACCGCAGAGGCCGTGCGCTCGGTGTTGTCGTGCAGCAACCCGGTTTTCGACCTGGAGGGGCGCTCCTCCAAAATCAACGCTGTCATGGACTGCCCCAACGAGAACGCCTTTCCTAATGAAAGTGAGTCACTTATGCCTTCTTGCTTGTTGTTTGTTTTCCTGTTTATTTTCAACCGTTTAATGGTATTCTATGAGAGTATGAGCCTTCCTTAACCGAACCAACATTCATCTTACAACTATAATATAGTTGCAGCGTGGCCTACAACTGTTTCAGATCTCGGTGTTTATGTGCGAAATATGTGTGTTACGCCTATTGATATAGAACAATAAAGAGAAGTAGTAAGCTCAATAATAAGTATACCCACATTGGCGAAGTTATATAATTTTTCTTAGTATGTAACCGTGTTGTGACTGTATAACAATATACTCAACCATAATAATATCGTCCCGTGGGTGGCGTACGAGGCGTTAAAGGGAAAATGAAATAAGAAACGGGCAACATCACCTTCCTGATAAAAACTCAAAATAATAAAAACTACGGCGGTCACCCCGACTACAAATATGGGAACTATGACAATCCACGTGCTGGGATCATAATATATCTGCCGCGTGGCGCAAAGACATACTCGTATAGCTACAGGGTTAATTTAAATACATTTTGATTTACATTACAATACGGCCGACGTATCTTGGCGAGTCCGACCTTCGCGCAGAAGGTTGCGCAATAGCTTTTTTAAGGAACAAAATGGTGGCATGAGGCGACGTACGGGGGGGCGGTGGTCTAGGCTAGAGATTGACCATAAGTAAACACAATCGACCCTTTAGTCATAAAATATCGCAATCGATTAGTTTTATTTAGAAGTTATTGATTTTTGTTTATATAAGATATTAAACGAAATAGATTTACAAATATAGTGAATTTTGTTGATAATAAACAAGATTTCGACTTAAATAAAAAAAAAAACTAAAAACATATTATTTTCTCAGCTGAAAGACATAATGTACTTAAATATCAATTATCTATTAACGTCTTCTTGAGTAACGACTATTTGAGAAAATTTAGAACCTCCTTATAAATTGCAAATAAATATATTTTTATGTCTTAATTTTAATCGATTTGAATAAAAATCGATTAAACAACACCCTCAGGCACGCGTGTTGGACATCCCTTTCTGGTTACTTCGTAAAGCTTCGTGCTTATTCGGCAATGCTCGGTACACGGTAATATTTCTCAGTCACACGTTAGCATTGGTGTCGTGTTCGTGTCGCTATCTCTGTCTTGAGCACAGTCGGTTACAAAAGTTTTCGTTGTTATTGTTGTTTGTTTTTATTAATAGTGTTAAGTTTGTTTTGTTTGTTTTATTTGTTTTATTTGTTTTATTTGCAAGTGTCAGTTAGCACTTATATTATTCGCCAAACATGCCACCAAAACATAACAGTGTGTTAAATCGCCAGGCGAGAAAAATTATTTACGATTTAACGCAATATATGAAAAAAGGAAAAGAAGAAGGCGTAAAAGATGTCGATAAAGTTTATTTAAGAGTTGCTAACGCAACTGGTGTGTCCCAACGCACAGTACAGCGGATCGCAACTGAAGGCAATATTTCGGGCTTACTTTCAGTATTCCGCACGCCTGGTAAAAAAAGGTCTAGATCAAAACCTATTACTGATATGGATAATTTTGACCAGGGAGTAGTAAAAAAGATGCATACACAACTTCCACAAAACTGAAAAAGAAATGCCGACGATAAACAAATTACTAGCGAAACTCAAACGGGATATAAATTTTCAAGGTGGTAAAACGAGCTTAAAGACAATTATCAAAAACTTGGGTTTCAAGTGGCGAAAGACCGAAACCAATAGAATGGTTCTTATAGAGAAGACCGACATTCGCCTGAAAAGGATCTTGTACTTGAAGGCAATGAAAAAATACAGGGACGAAGGGCGACCAATTGTATTCACTGACGAGTCGTATGCCCACTCATCACATACAAAAGGTAAGGCGTGGTCAGATGGTTCCGCTCAAGGACTAAAGCGCCCGATATCAAAAGGTCAGCGGATAGTGATGGTACACGCTGGGTCAGAAGCAGGGTTTGTTCCGAACGCGCTACTAATGTTCAAATCTGGCAGCAAAACCGGAGACTATCATGATGACATGAATTTCAAAAATTATGAGAAATGGTTACGGACCCAACTGATTCCAAATTTGAGCCCTAACTCGGTGGTGGTTATCGATAATGCTCCGTACCACAACAAATTAATGGATCCTGCCCCTACATCTAATGACAAGAAGGCAAAAATGGAATCGTGGTTATTAGAAAAGGGTATACCATATGAAAAGGACATGCGTAAACCACAACTTTACGATCTAATAAAAAAAACAAAGACGTGAATAAAAAATACGTAATAGATGAAATGTTTAAACAAAACAACCACGATGTCCTTCGTTTACCCCCATATCATCCCAATTTAAACCCCATCGAGATGGTGTGGGCTGCCATTAAAGGGCACGTAGCCGCTAAAAACGTCGACTGTAACGTAACCCGGACAATGGAGCTCATACAAAAAAAAGTAAATTTAATGGGTCAGAATGAATGGAGTGCTTTATGCAGAAAAGTGCAAGAGGTCGAACATGACTATAGGAAGAGCGACCATATTATTGACGAAATGACGGATCAATTATTCATCATTAATACAGCTTCAGATTCAGAAAGTGAGTCTGAAAGTGAGAGCGACGATTACGAAGATGAACCTATGCCAAGTACCTCACATGGTACACAAGGGGCCGACGACTTTATGTTAGGAATTTCCCCCCCTCAGCGACAGTGATTAAATAATAATAAGTGTAAATAAATAAAAAGTATTAAATGTAAATAATATTGTATGTGTTTGTGATAAAATCTGCCCCTATCGAAAGGTGAGGTATCAAAATTGAATCTTTAATTTATAATGTCTCCAAAGTGTTTTGATATTTTTGGTCACTGTATTAGGGAAATTTTATTTGTACATTGGTATATATAAAAAAATGACAATAACAGTTTTCTTCACGAGTGTTCATGCGCTAAACTTCGCAGAGCCTATATTCAGACTCGCCAAGATACGTCGGCCGTATTGTACATGTGCAAGTTTACAAATTTATAACAGCTTAATGGCCTTCGTAAACGGACTAGGGGTAATATCTTTCGGCGTTTAATCTATGTGTTTAGTATACCTATATTATAACACTTTTTAGGGCGTTACTCACCGGCTACGGTCATCGGAGAGTTAAGAGACTCGATTGGACTCGAGTATCAAAATAAAAGTATCCCAGGGCTCCTGTGGTTGCATGATTAGTAAATGAAAATTCAAAGATACATATACAGACAAAAGGTAGTTTATTTCCTTCTAAAGTTCATACGGATAGCTCTAAATATCAAGTTGTCACTTTAAAATACACTGGGAACTGAGGTTTTGACTAACCTGGTGGATTACACAATATTACACTGTTTATGGTCAATCCCGCGAAGCAGTGAGGTAACAGATGTCCTCCAGGTGTATTCCGGTCGCGGTCTCCATGCCGCCCAGTCCCAATATAGCCACCAGTTGAAGCTGTCTCGCCTCGTTCACATAGTTAAACTTGATAATGGACCATACTCAAAGTAAGGATTAAGGACCCCTATGACAAGACAAAATAATCTATGAAATACCATGTACCGTTAATTAGAGCACATGTGCTTTTAAGAAGACAAAAACATTAAGCACTTACAATTTATGGGATGATGTGTTCCAACGCATTAAACTTCCTGTAGACATTGTGTTTAAGGGGCCGTACGCCCAAGTACTCGTCACTTTAAATTCATGTTCCGGCGTTTCGATTCAAAAATTATATATGTGCATGTCGGATCATTACAACGACGACTCGCTCCGAAAAGAAACTGGGCCTGGGCCTCCCTTGGGCTACGCGCCACCTTCGATCCGTGGTAGGATTTCGAACTAACACGAAAGGTCAATTGCATGCAATTAGCTAGCTCGATTGGTCAATATACGTTTCTAGTTACTTCGGACTAATGACGTTAGATGGCGCACTGATGTCCGTTCATCGAATGTAATAACATAAATATGCTAAAATAAAGTACACGAAAATTTTCGTGTTACAATATGCGTCGTAGTTTGAAAATTTAGAAAGCGTGCATTTATAGTTTAATATAGCCACATCGTGTTTAGTGTCGATAATAACGACCCCACCGTCCGCTGACGTAACAGCTATGTGACAAAACTGATACGTCAGCGCAGTCAGTCAGCACCTTGCGAAGAGGTGTTAGTGCCGTGCCTTGGCAAAAAATGAAGGTGCAAAGGCCCGTTTGTGCACATAGCCACACAATAAAACGGCGCCGGGTCTGGGCGTCTCCCGTTAAATGACGCCCATTAACATGGATGATGGAAAATAGAAGGACGTGCAATGAGCCGCTTCCTGAAGGGCGCCAGGGCGCGTCTGGAATGCAAACCGCCAGCCAAGCGCGAGGTGCTGCACGACCACCCAGCAGCTTCTCGCATAGATCATCTCCACTAGCTGGCTTGATTTCAGCAGGGTCTTCGCGGGCCCAGTAATCGGTACCTGCCAATGGTGTAGTACGCCGCATGCGTTGGACAATGCGGATGAATAGCAACGCATTGCGGGCGTATTTTAGGGAAAAGGGGGGACAATTGGAAGTTTTGCCTATCGGGCTAGGATGTATCGACTTTTTGCTGAGCTGGAGCCATCTTCGACGATCACCGAGCAAAACCTGGCAAACCGGGTTCTGTATATCTTGCGCTCAAATATGTATTTGATGTTGCGAACTCGAACGGCTACGACATGTGGCTGTTCCCTCATCGGATGAAAATGCTCATCGGATATAAATGCTGGTGATGCAGTGCCACAACTTGCAGAGCAACCCGCAAACGTGGATGCCGCCATGAATACCCAGTTGCGGTTGATTCAAACGATGATGGAACAGTCGTCCAGGAACTGGAACTAGAGCTAAAAAGGAGTACATTGGAAGAGGCGATTGTGTAAATGGGCAGTACGCCTCTCGAAAATCGACTGTGACTGCCCCGCATAGCCCTAAGCAAGCGGAATCGGGCTGTCGTGAGGGCTCTGAACCTAATATTGGTGATCTATTTGGAAGCCAGCCGGGACCTTTGTTAGACGGAATCAATCCTTTTTGGCGCCGCACTGGCAGTCTGCGTAGGCGCCGAACTTTCTACGGCTGGATGCGCTACTGAACAAAGTAGCGCTATGCCAGCCTGAAGAATAAGAATTGAAGAACGTATAGCAAAGCCTCATTGGCAGACTGATATTTTTTTATAGGAGAGGGAGCAAACGTGCATACGGTTCCCCTAATGGTAAGTGATTACCGCCGCCCATGAACAACTGCAACATCATGGGAATTTTAGATGCACTGCCGGCCTTTTAAAAAGAAATAGGCTCTTTTCTTGAAGGTCCCTAATTCGTATCAGTTCGGAAAAATCTCTGGTGATAGTCGATTCCACAAGGAAGTTGTGCGAGGAAGAAAATTTTTTTAATCGCTCAGTGGTGGATCGTCAGTCATCCAGATGGTATGAATGTTATCGCGAGTTTTGTCGCGATGTGCGATGGTTAAATTGTGCGGCTGGAATTAGCCCGAAAAATTCCTCAGAATACTCCCCGTAGTAGATGCAATAAAATACGCAAAGAGATACAACATCTCTTAGTTCTCGCAGTAACAGTGAGTCAAGCCGATTGGAAAGAGCTCGGTCGCCGACGATTCGAATAGCTCTGCGCTGGATGCGATCAAATAGAAGGAGCTGGTACTGGGGAGCCCCATCCCTGAGATGGAAACAGTATTCCATATGCGGCCGAACCTGCGCCTTATAAAGTTGCAGACGGTGAGCCGGCATAAAATACTGTCCCGCTCTGCTAAGCACGCCAAGCTTTTTAGGGGCCAATTTGGTCTGCTCTTCCAAGTGACCACGAAACTACACGTCACTCGATATTTCGACGCTGAGGATTCGATACTGGCTGAGGCAATAATTTGAGTGCCTTGAAACTGAGGAGATACGACTAAAGGGTTTCCTTTAGCGGTAAACGCGCAAACTTGTGTCTTGTTGGAATTGAACTGGACTAGACTTTGTTCAACGAAGTCTCGATTTCAGACACAAGTTTGTCCCGGTACGGCCAACGCCTCCTCCTTGGACTCTACTGCCTCTGCCCATTTATGAGTTAGGTTACCCAGAATATCACCAGCTAAGCGACCGCGACGGAAACCATACTGGTGGTCACTAATCAGCTGGTGATCCTCAAGGTAGCGCATGAGCTGGCTGTTAATAAGGAGGGAATATATAGGGAAATAACAAGGAGGTGATGGCGATAGGCCTATAGTTGGACGTTACCTTTTTTAGGGAACGGGTGTACAAAGGCTGTCTTCCATGATTTCGGTACTAGGAGTACCGGAAAAGATGCGGTAAAACCGGTGCCAACTCCGGAGCACACGTCTTTAGCACAATAGGAGGAACGCCATCAGGCCCATTCGACTTGTTGACGGACCGGGGAGAGGAGTGCATGGATCACTCACGCCGCGGAATGGTTGGCGGTGTGTTCCCTCCGTCATCAAGAGTCGAGATGGGCGCAAAGAGAGAGCCCAGCAGATCGGCTTTGTCCTTTGCGGCATGGGCCAGTGAATCTTCCTCCCTGTGCAGAGATGGAAGAGATGGCTGACCAGAATAAACGTGTTCCCGAAGAAAGACGAACTAGTTTCTCACCAATTCTGCCGATATGCTCTGACTTTGCCTTGACAATGACACTTTTGAAGGACCCGGAGGCAGAATTATACTTCTTATTAAGAGTGCTGGTATTTGCATCCCAAGACATCGATGCGCGAGCCCAGGACTGGTAGCACTCCTGCTAATAACGTAATGCAACTTTGCAACCATGGCTGGGTTCTGTCTCCGATAGGTATCACAGATGACGGAATAAAAAGTTCCATTCCCTGTAGCACCACATCAACAACAACGCTGCGATCATCCGGCGGGAAGGAATACTGCCTCCAGGGGTAGGATGCAAAAAAGATCGCATCCCGTCCCAATCGGCTGAACTGTAATGCCAAACACGGCGCCAACCTACAGTACGCAATTGCGATGGGAGCGTAATTGGCACCATACTTCGGATCACATAATGGTCCGAGGAGCCAAGAGGGGCATCAACGGAGGCCTGATATCCGTCCGGATGAGAGGTCAGCAGAAGGTCCACGACAGAAACCATTCTGGTGGTCACTAATCAGCTGGTGATCCTCAAGGTAGCGCATGAGCTGGCTGTTAATAAGGGATTCCAATACTTTAGAGAACAAGGAGGTGATGGCGATAGGCCTATAGTTGGACGTTACCTTTTTTAGGGAACGGGTGTACAAAGGCTGTCTTCCATGATTTCGGTACATGGAGTATCGGAAAAGATGCGGTAAAACCGTTAAAGTTTGGTTTGCAGAGCTTTATTTTATTTACTTATTTGGATTGCCAACATAAGAAACAGCAATTAATGTTTAGTTACGTACAGTGTTGTAGATTTTACATGATTAACTGCTCTTATAATTATGGACAATCACAGTATGCGTCGTTGTGTTACAAACGTTAAACAAATTTGAGATTAGTATGTTCTTAAATTAAAAAAAAAGAAATAAAGGTTAAATGTGCAACCATAGTTTAACGTACGTCGTGGTGAATGTCAAGGTCGGGTATATTTTGGTAAGCTTGTACATGCGAGATATTCGGATCACTAGTGTAGTCGAGACCCAAGTTAGTTCTACAAAATTTATTCTTAAGGGTACACTAGTCGCTTATTCTTCCATACAAACGTAGTCCGGCGATTACTCCACTGTTTGATGGTGTACGTTCAAAATAAAATATGATTTCAATTTCTCTCATCATTATCTAGCCCTGTATGGAAACAAAAAAGTAAAAGAACCGGCCAAGAGCGTGTCGGGCCACGCTCAGTGTAGGGTTCCGTAGTTTCTCGTCCGTCACAATAAGTGTTCCCACTTATGAGTTTAAAGGTTTCATTATGTACGCGCTCTGCGCTCCTGCAACTGCTCCCGGTAGTGGGTACTGTTGTTTCCATCCAAGTTGAAAATGATTTTCCTAGAAAGTCCTTATAAAGTTCTACTTTTCAGATTTTTTTCATATTTTCTAAACTTATGGTTCAAAAGTTAGAGGGGGGACACATTGTTTTTTACTTTTGAAGCGATTATTTCCGAAATTATTGACATTATCAAAAAATGATTTTAGAAAACCCCTATTAATTTTTAAATACATTTCCAACAATATATCACACGTTAGGGTTGAAATTAAAAAAAAATCACTTCCCACTTTACACATAGGGGGGGCTACTCTAATAAAACATTTTTTTTCCAATTTTTATTTTACCACTTTGTCGGCGTGATTGATACACATATTGGTACCAAATTTCATTTCTAGTGCTAACGGTCACAGAGATTAAGCGAGGACGGACAGACGGACAGACAGACATGGCGAAACTATAAGGGTTCCTAGTTGACTACAGAATCCTAAAAAGAGTATGTTTAAAAGTTATAAGCGTCGAAAATTCCGAATTTCAACACTATTTTTAACACATATTTGGGTGGAAATAAATACCATAAGAAGAACGAAAATTGCAAAACAGTTACTATACATGGATAGATTAGTTGTTAAAAATGCAAATAATTTTATTTTAAACAGTTACATTCAATAGATTTTTCGTGGCATTCGGACTTACAAAGGTCTGTTTATAAAATTTCGCGCGCCCGTTTTTGTTATAAAACATCTTGCCTTTCGCTACAAATTGTTTCCCCGATCAGTGGGACGGACGGAGGGGCGGGTGGGGGGGTCGCAGCGCGCACTCACACATACTCACTAGGTTAGCCGCTGCTATCTATTTATGGTTGTAATACCTACATATCTACATCTTTATTTAGAAAAATTTCTTCCTTTTGTTCGTGTCCATTGCTGAAGCCGGGATGAATATAGCTGCTAAAATGTGCCCATAAGTTTGTTGAAGCATATTTAGTTAAAATTGAAAACAGGTAGGTACATAATAATGAACTTTCGATACAGGTAGTACATTAGGTACTTAACTACTTTAATTTGCTAAGTAACATTGATTTATATGTTACACTAGATAAGTAATTTCCGCGCCAAAGCGTTGTCACTTCACATAAGGCCACAGCCTTATACTCAGCGAACGTCGGTTCAGTGTTCAAGGTGACGCCGTCCGAGTTAAGCCGAACGATTCACAACAAAAAATGGGTAAATGCGTAGTGAAAGAATGCGTTTCAAGGTCACAAAAACATAATAAATCAAGCGGAATCACTTTCCATACGTAAGTTTTAATTTATATATTCATATTAACGTTTAAAACACTAAAAAATTAAATAAAATATCGAATATTGCAATTTAGGTTCAATGTTGCCACTTTTCCGCCTTTGTGATTTTTCCACATTAATGGGAGACTGTATAATTTATGGAATAAGTTAATTTTTGTTTTAAAATAAACAAGTAAAATTGATTGCTTAAAAATAAAAACTATGTTTCAACCTTTATACAAAATAATTATTCTTATTTTAGTTTATTCATG